GATGTTGAACGCACGCTCCACTGTTTGGATGCTCGTCGTGCATTATCCTTTTATATATCCAGGACCAAAGATTTTAGAAGGGTCCAAAGGCTGTTCTTATGCTATTATGGCCAACGCAAAGGGACTGCTGCTTCAACTTCAACTTTGTCCAGATGGCTGGTCTCCACCATCTCTTTGGCCTATGAGTTGCAGCATAAACCTCTCCCTGAAAACCTGCGTGCTCATTCTACAAGAGCTGTTGCCACATCCACGGCCCTGCTGCGAGGGGTAGACATCCCTGACATATGTAGAGCAGCTACTTGGTCCAGTGTGTCTGTCTTCATCAAGCACTACAGACTGGACCTCAGGGCCAAGAATGAGACCAGATTCGGGAGGGCTGTCCTTACATCACTGCTGCAGTGACGGCCCACCATCCTGTAAGTAGCTTGGTAGTCACCCACCAGTGTGGATTCATAGAGAACCACGTTGAAGAAGAACAGGTTACTTACCTGTAAACATGGTTCTTCAAGTGGATTCTCTATGAATACACACTGGTGGGTTAAACAGCGCCTGCGCTGGTTCCCCTCGGAATTTTCCAGAGCTATGAGGAAAAAGATACAAAGTTTAGGTTGCCCTGCACTGCGCAAGTGCAGCCTGCCAAAAATCCCCAGTTCCATGTGCCCGCACATAGAGAGAGTTGGAACTCAATCAGCAGTGACGGACACGTGGGGAGGTTGGGCGGGTCGTGTGTATTCATAGAGAATCCACTTGAAGAACCATGTTTACAGGTAAGTAACCTGTTCTTCTCATTCATGATTAGATTTTTGGGGGCTTGCAGAATTTGAGTGAGAGAATAGAGCTCCAAAGAATGAATCAACATATTTTCAAAATGAACCAAAAGACTTACTCAGTAGCCTGTCTAGCCTGTATAGGCAGTAAATATTTATATTTTCCTGTTTAGACTGATAATCCAAACAGCTGCATTCCCCTTAAAGTTTGTAGTAGTTTTATCCATTTTCTTTTAATGTAGCCATTCCAGCTTTTCACTATGACTGCTTATCTTTTAGACATTTTAGGTTTCCCAACTAAGATCAGACTTGTGCTGAAATTCAGATTGCCATCCTTTGTAGACATAGTACATATGCAGCCATTATTTTGTTAATTTAACTGACATTTTATTCCTTTTGTGTATTGCTTCAAACATTTAGCTGTCATATAGCAACCTCCTTTCATCTGTTGTATCAAATGCTTTGTTATCTTTGTCAAATTTGTTAGTGGGTACAATGTTTAGCCTACATCCAGCAAGCCAAACCTCTTACTGTCATTGCCTGTAAGGCAGTGGTCCCCAACCTTGGGCCTCCAGATGGACTACAACTCCCAGAAGCCTTTACCACCACCTCTTCTGACCAGGATTTCTGGGAGTTGAAGTCCAAGAACATCTGGGGGCCCAAGGTTGGGGACCACTGCTGTAAGGAGCATGTGGAGGGGGGAATGGAACACAAGTGGGAAAGTGACATGCTCCCAGGACCTGTAAAGTGGAAGTGCAAGCATGCAGCAATAAATTAGGAATAAAAGGGGAGACAGAGGAGAAGAAAGGGGATTCTAATGGGATCGTTCCCCAAGGCAGGAGAGTTGCCCATAACTGTGGTAAGAGCAGATTTAGAACAAAATACAAAAAATGGTTTTAAAAACTCTAAAATGTCCCACAGAAGCCTATGTTTAGAAGTAACAAATAAACAAATTAATAATGTTGCAAATCACTATGTTATTTTTAAAAATTGCTGTATTTACAATTTTGTTACCTTAAAGTACCACATTGTAGTTAGTTGTAATGCATTATTTCCAAACTGTGGGTAACTGGCAAAGAAGCTTATACACTGGAATCTTCCTGTCAAAGGGTTGCTTTATCTGTGCCAAGCTAAAGTAAGCATGGGAAGAAATAGGCTTGTTTCTCTAAATGATGGGTGACCTTTATTTTTTCAAGACAAAAGAGAATGGATGGGGCATATAAATTTGGTCTAGCTCTGTACTGGTACCCCATCTAGTGGATAAGAGAATGGCTGCTCTTTAGTTTTAATAGAGGCTGGTCACTTTCCTGTTCTTACTTGAAACATTTTCCTTAATCTTTTGCACTTCTGGAAGAAAATAAATCTAGCAATGTCAGAGCCATTTTTATTGTGAATGTAAAACAGGCATTGTGGTATCTGAGGTTTGTGTGCTGTCTCATGATTTACAGCAAGGTAAATGATAACTGTTAGGTGCATAAACCTGATGGCTGAGGTTTGGCATACGATTAACACATTTCTTAGGTTCCCAGTAGCCTATTTTTCTTTTTCGTGGCCTCTGTGAATGCACACATACGGGTATTGTCTGCGCCTGCGCTGACTCTCTCGGAAGATTCTAGAGCTAAAAGTAACAATTTTATGGTGTGATCCTCCACGAGGTATATGCTCCTCCCACCCACCATCTTTCCCAGTTCCTTTTTTCCGCCGAGCTGAACGGTTCTCAGGAAAGATTGAGCGTTTCGCTAGTTGCCTTTTGGCTATTTTTCTAGGCTCCTTTGAGCTTTTGTTTAATTGCCTACTTAGTGATCCTCCGCGTCTTTTGTTTGCCTAATCAGCTCCCCACGGTCTTTTTATTCCCTTCCCCGCCTTCCCCCCTTCCCTTGTTCTTTGCTTATGGCCTCTGCTGCATTCGGCAGAGCTGTCCTGTCATCCTTCTTACCGTGACGACCCACCAACCAGTAAGTGCAGCTTGCTAGTCACCCATATGTGTGCATTCATAGAGGCCACGAAAAAGAAAAAGAGGTTTCTTACCTGTACCCATAGTTCTTTGAGTGGTCGTCTGTGAATTCACACAACCCACCCATCCTTCCCCTCTCTCCGTCACAGGTTAACTATGTAATTATTTAATTCATTCTTTCCTTCATACCCAGCGGATAAAATTAAGGAACTGGGGAAGATGGTGGGTGGGAGGAGCATATACCTCATGGAGGATCACACCATAAAATTGTTACTTTTAGCTCTAGAATCTTCCGAGAGAGTCAGCGCAGGCGCAGACAATACCCATATGTGTGAATTCACAGAGGACCACTCAAAGAACTATGGTTACAGGTAAGTAACCTCTTTTTCTGAGTGATGGAGGTTCACAATGGGATTTGTACTTAATAATCTTAGAACTGCAGAGCTGGAAGGGACCCTGTGGTATTTGTATTGACTACAAATATTTAGACTTTTTAAAAATAAATATTTTATCTCTAGGAAAAACAAGCACGGATGTGAACTTTGTCGTTGTAAAAAGTGCCCAGAACTTTCATGTGGTAATATCTGTCCAATGGGCTTTCAAAAAGATAATCAAGGATGCCTTGTCTGCAGATGTATAGGTAGGAGAATAAAAATCTGTCAGTCTTATTTTTCTCAGAATCACATTGGTATTCTTGTTCTCTGCAGATTGCTTATCAAATCACAGAACACTTTGTCTTTCCGAATGGAAATTCATGCACATTTTTCTGTGTGTTGTTTTCTTATTGATATAAATGTGTTTGTACACATTTTTATATATTCAGTCCAGTATAAGCATAGTTTTGTGGCACTGTTTCGTACCAACATGAATGGCAAGACCATGCATTTCAATGACAAACTATGGAAATACATGGTCTTCTGAGATAAAATGCACTAGTCCCGTGAGGTGCAGGATGGATATCTATCTGTGAAGATTCTCAGTCATCCAGGTGCAGTTGTCTGGAAGTTGAGTCATGCCAACTGAACTTTCTTGTTTCTTGAAACATTTCAACCTAGCAAGAAAGCTGGATATCCTGTCTAATCCCAAATTAAAAAAATAAATAATGAAAAAAACTGAATTGGCAGATTGGTTTCTCGACACGATACTTCTTTCTGCCAGTAACTGTTGATTGCTTACTATTTGTTATATTTAGTATAGAAAAGTAAAAAAAATGTTTGGCATGTTAAGTTTAAAAATTAAAAAATTAAACTTAAACATTCAAATTTAAGAAATTAATTAATTGCTGTTAGTTTTTAAAATTGAAAATATTTAACTCACTAAACTGGCATTGTTAATATGTTAAATTAATATGTTGATTTAAATGGTACATTAATGGTTTCTTTATAGAGCATACATGCAACAATACCATATTTCTCTGAGTTCTGGGAGTTAACAGGTAACTAGTGCCCATTAAAGAATTAACTGGCTCCTTCCCATACATTTCTTGAGCACCGTAGAAAGCATGGTCTGAGAGTATAGGCCTGATTGAAAGGTCTCTCAGTGATCTCTTGACCTATGTGATCTCCAGTAGCTACTGAAGTTATAGTGATCCATTCCTGTTGCACCCAAATCCAATCAGTAGCACTGTCTATGGAAGAAAAATATTCACTTCAGTCACCTCTGGACAATTTTGAAAAATAATTTTATTTGAAGCAAAATCACAACCCAGCAGTCCTACATAAGGTGAAATATGTTTGATTTGCATGACACCTTCCGTAAAGGTACAGAGGAAAAGAAGGTCTATCTGCTGAAGCCCTATCTGAACTACCTATTTAATGGCTGCCTGAAAATTTGCCTATTTGAATGCAACAGTAAATGAAATGATGTATTAATAAACATGAAAAGAAAAATAATGAAACCTGTTCTTTTTCTTATTGCTGGGGCTGTATTTTTGAATTGGGAAAGACAGACAGCTAGATTATTACATTTGAATCCAATTCTTTCTGGACATCCCATAATTAGATAGTATGGGGGTCTTCAGGGTATTTGCAAGGGCCTCAGGGGTCTCTTCCAGAGTCTCTCAATTTGACAATCATTGGGCCGGTAAAATAAATGTTGGGCATTTAGTCCATCATACTAAAGCATTGTATTTTTATTTTTTAAAAAAAAATCACATACAGAGTTGTCGGGCTCTATAATGCCACCAGCCAAAGTGGGTTCTTGCTTATCAGTTGATGGGCACCGTCATGAAAATGAGGAAAGTTGGCATGATGGCTGCCGTGAATGTTACTGTCATAACGGACGGGAGATGTGTGCTTTGATAACTTGCTCTGTGCCCAACTGTGGCAATCCTACCATACATCCAGGACAATGTTGTCCATCATGTCCAGGTATTATTTCATGTTTTATTATTGTATTATTAAATATATTTTGTAATTATGCTTAGATATAGATTCTTTCTTGTGTTCTCTGTGAAATTGTGCATATGGGGCATTTACAGAGGTTGCCTTCAAACGCCAACAGTCCTGCTTGAAATTTTACTTGTGGGAGAAATCATTACAGACAGGTAGTCACGCAAACCAAAGCATTCCAACAGAGCTTCAGTTCCAAAATTGCCACCTCCAATTCTGCAATCACCTAAAGCCAAGATATCTCACTGTGCTATTCTATCTCACTCAGCATTGAAATCTTCCTTGAGAACTGCACACCATGCCAGCCACCACACTCTTGATTTCAAACACCCCAGCTTGGTTTCTATAGCAGGATCTTGAAAGCCAGACATAGATCAGTAGATGTCATGCCAACTTGTTAGCGCAAGAACGCGGAAAATTCAGCAGAGTTAGTAGAATAAAGTCCAGTCCAGGAAATCCAAAAGAATCACGCATATGCAGGCAGCTTCACCAACACCAATGTGTATTTACAAGCTGTATACAGCAGTGCAGTCCGACAGCATAACACTCATCAGAACAGGAGGAAATACATCTACTGTACAGAATACACATATATACTTATGGACAACTATCTGTGTCCAATCATATTAGACATTGCATCATACATAAGTCAGCCCTCATGAGTCATCATGACTCAGCATTTCTACACACCTGTTCATTATGGCTGCTCATTAACACTCCTTATTCTGCTCAGGCCTGTAAATTTACCTTGACACAACTGGACTATCCTCTGTCAGGGTCATTCTGTATATCTCTGACCAGCATAACCAAGCTCTAACGCATAACCCAAGCCAAATCAACAGACCCAAAGCCAAAACATGAGGTTTTGATACCAAAGCCTTTGGTGTTGACAAATCGTCAGTCACATCCCACCTTGCCTTCCTCAGAATTGGTTGTCCAACACCACAATCTACAACTGAGTCACAGTCTAAACCATTGAATCAAATCTGAATCCAATCTTCAGTTTCTTCCAGCCCAGCTGAAGTGGCTACATCGGTAGATATGAGGCATAGGTACTGAAACCTCAGGACTTTACTCTAGGGATCCTCCAGCAAAGCAACACAAAACATCCAAGGGCTGTCACAGCCTGGCCCCATACAACAGGAAAGGAAGGAAGATGGACATGATTGGGAGATGGATCTGTTCTATGGCTGCCTTAAGAATCAGGGTCGCTAATCATCAGAAGCCATGAGGCCATATCACAGAATTACTTGGGACAAGATTCAGTCCATTTCTAGTAGTGTTGTTGTTGTTTAGTCGTGTCCGACTCTTCGTGACCCCATGGACCAGAGCACGCCAGGCCCTCCTGTCTTCCACTGCCTCACGGAGTTGGTTCAAATTAATGTTGGTAGCTTCAATGACACTGTCCAATCATCGCATCCTCTGTCGTCCCCTTCTCCTCTTGCCCTCACACTTTCCCAACATCAGGGTCTTCTCCAGGGAAACTTCTCTTCTCATGAGATAGCCAAGGTATTGGAGCCTCAGCTTCAGGATCTGTCCTTCCAGTGAGCACTCGGGCTATTTTCTTTTAGAATGGATAGGTTTGTTCTCCTTGCAGTCCAGAGGACTCTCAAGAGGGACCAGGGGACTCTCCAGCACCACAATTCAAAAGCATTGATTCTTCGGCGGCCAGCTTTCTTTATGGTGTAGCTCTCACTTCCATACAAAACTACAGGAAAAACGATAGCTTTGACTATGCAGACTTTTGTCAACAAGGTGATGTCTCTGCTTTTTAAGATTCTGTTGAGGTTTGTCATTGCCTTCCTCCCAAGAAACAGACATCTTTTAATTTCGTGGCTGCTATCACCATCTGCAGTGATCATGGAGCCCAAGAAGTTAAAATCTGTCACTGCCTCCATATCGCCCACTTCTATTTGCCAGGAGGTGATGGGACTGGTGGCCATGATCTTAGTTTTTTTGCTGTTGAGCTTCAGACCATTTTTGACTCTCTCCTCTTTTACCCTCATTATGAGGTTCTTTAATTCCTCCTCACTTTCTGGTATCAGAGTCTACATATTCTGCATATCTATGGTTGTTGATACTTCTTCCGGCAATCTTAATTCCGATTTGGGATTCTTCCAGTCCTGCCTTTTGCATGATGTATTCTGCATATAATACGCAGGGAGACAATACACAACCTTGTCATACTCCCTTCCCAATTTTGAACCAATCAGTTGTGGGGCCATGCGGGCGGGGGAGGAAGGCAGGCGGGCGGTCCGGAGGGAGGGAAGCAGAGCCAGCCATGCCTGAGCGGCCAGAGCCCGCTGCCGGGCTGCCCGCTGCCCTGCGCCATTGAGCCAGCTGCTGGCTCACCTGCCCGCAACTGGATAGCCCCTTCCCCTCTTCCGCCGCCCGCCCGGCCACTTCCCCTCCTTCTCGCCCTCCTCGCCACTGAGCCAGCTGCCCGCTCGCGCACCGCCGAAGAGCTGCTTTCCCTCCTCCGCCGCAGGTCCGGCCGCTTTCCCTCCTCACCGCTGAGCCCACTCGCCCGCCCGCCACCGGCTAGCCGCTTCCCCTCTTCCACCGCCGCCACCCGCCCGGCCACTTCCACTCCTTCACACCCTCGCGGCTGAGCCAGCTGCTCCCCCGCCTGCCGCCGGAGAGCTGCTTCCCCTTTCCCTCCTCCTCCGCTGACGCCACCCGTCCGGCCGCTTCCCCTTCTTGCCCTCCTCGTCGCCGCCCATGAACTTCCAGGACAGGCACAGGCAGAGCCCCAGGCAGCCGGCGGCAGTGCTGCAGCAGAGCCATCCACTTTATATTTTGAGTGGAAATGTTGGGGGGTCGTCTTATACGCCCAGTCTTGTATGCCAGCAAATCAAGTAATTCCGGTTTGGGATTCCTCCAGTCCAGCCTTTCGCATGATGTATTCTGCAATATGTTAAATAAGCGGGGGACAATATACAGCCTTGTCATACTCCTTTCCCAATTTTGAACCAATCAGTTGTTCCATAGCCAGTTCTAACTGTTGCTTCCTGTCCCATGTATAGATTTCTTAGGAGATATATAAGTTGGTCAGGCACTCCCATTCCTTTAAGGACTTGCCATAGTTTGCTGTGGTCCACACAGTCAATGGCTTTTGCTAGTAGTGTACCCAAGGACAAAAGGGTACTGGCCCTCACTTTTGAGCAGGAGACCACAGCACTAGCAATTCAGAAGATGCACACTGTCATCATGCTACAGATTGTGCTGCTAAAAATATACGTGCTGCAATAGCCCATATGGTACTTTTCCTCCCATGGTTCATGATCTGGAAAATTCACCTGGCCTGAAAAGAATTTTATGCAAAGTGAGAGAGCCATCTACCAGGTGCAATTATAAATATATATGGGGGAAATTCAAACCCTTATCTAAATGACTGGACAAGTCTTACCTTTCACTTGTGTTGCATACTGTCCTACATTTCTTGTTACATATAAAGGAGAAAAGTCTATCTCCTTCCTCAAAGTACAGTGAACCCTTGACTTACAGACGGCTTGACTTACAGACTTTTTGAGTTACAGACTTCTCTGGCCGCAAAATTTAGGTTTGACTTGCAGACTGAGATTTGACTTACAGACCAGAAAAAAACCAAAATGGAACAAAAACGGCCTGTTACGGGATTAATCGGTTTTCAATGCACTGTAGGTCAATGGAGACTTGACTTACAGACTTTTTGACTTGAGAACCGCCTTCCAATATGGATTAAGTTCTCAAGTCAAG